AAAAAAAAAGAAACGCAATTTAATTCTTCTATAGCACATCAAAAGCGTAATTAAATAATTATTTAATTAATATATAACTTATATATAAAAATAATAAATATATAAAAGAGATATCAAAACAATAATAAATATTATTTTTTTTTACTTAAAAATTTATGATAATTTAGTTTCTATTATTTATAATATTATAAAAATGCAGTGTCAAATTTTTTAATTTGATATTGAAATAATTTATCTATTTGCATTTGTAAAAAAATATTTTGATACAAAAAAGAAACAATTTAATTATTCTGTAGCACATCAAGAAGTATAATTAAATAATTATTTAATAAATATATAACTCTTATATATTTTTTAAAAATAAATATATAAAAGAGTATCAAAATAATAATAACTATTATTATTTTTAACTTAAAAATTTATAATAATTTAGTTTCTATTATTAATAATATTATAAAAATGCAGTGTCAAATTTTTAATTTGATATTGAAATAATTTATTTATTTGCATTTGTAAAAAAAAAAAAAAACTATTAACTTTAATGAAAAAGCCAAAATATAATTAAAAATTATGCTGTCAATGTTTAATTTAACGGTTGTTGTTTTAACTTCTCCTGATTTTAGTTTGAATGTTTTGTGTAAGTACAGCTCAAGTTTTTATTTTAATGTTTTGTGATAAAAAAAAAATTAATTAATATTTTCAAATTTTTATTGTATTTTTTAAAAAACTTTAAAATTATGTTTTTTTTTACTATTAATTTATTTTTATAACTATTATTTATAAACATTTCTATTGTAATTTTAATAAAAATCTTTAAAAAAAATATTTTAACCGCTAATTTCTTTTCTATATATAGTAAATATACATATATAGTACCAGCAGTACAGTACTATAAATTTAAAGATATTTGTGTTTATTACCGAAATTGCCCTAGAGCATCAAAATACAAGAACATCCGTCCCTCTCTATTGCTTGTTTGAGGAATATGCCCTCCAAATTGGCGACCCTACCTATTATGGGAATTTTCCATGATCGA